TGAATTAATGGTAACAGTGTTTAATAGAAACCATGCCAAAAAAAGGAATGTGTCCCCAGCTGTCCAGAGGCAAGAAGCACAGTGCAATAACACAGTCTGGTTTTCAGGACTTTTAAGTGAAATTGTAGCTGCAGGACCAATCTGTTCAATAATGTAGTAGTATACTGTATTAGCCCATTTATGATTTGCTGTTATTGTTATATTCAAAGTGTTGATATAGAATGCCTTTACTTGCTGCTGCCGTGTTGGATGCATTTTGACTTTTTCAATTACATATCACTGGACTTTTTGATGTATTAACTCCTCAACGAGAGGACCGTTCCAAAGACTCTCTTTGTCAACTAACAATGATATCAGTCATTCAGCATGAAAGAACTCAACTAGGGGCAACTAACTTACTTAAACGAATGCAACGGGACAACGTTGTCACTCTTCTCATCTCCCTGTGACTGCAGGATGGCGGGTGACCCCACTCATCATCCACCTCCCATCCTCCTCCCTCATGATGGGAAGCCCCAGCTCAGCTTCTTGCCGCCAAGCTGTTCATTAACAAGGGCTGTTTGGCCTCTTGTTGGCTCATTAAACTGGGCTGCAGAGTCTGGCTAATTAGCCGGCATCACTGTGCTGACCCCCTGTGTTTCTGTTTTCATCACTATCTCCTGGTTTCCTACAATCTTTTGATCAGCCTTCTGCCTTGTGTCTGTATTTGATCTGTGGCCACACATGCAAATCGTTGTGGGATTTCTACTGCGATACATATAGGGATTAGACAAAGTAAATGATGCTCTGTGGTTATTGAAGGATAAAAGAGTCTGATTTAGAGTGTTATTCATGTATTTCTTTTTGTAATTGATCATTTAAAAGTTTGACTTGGTTGACTCTAAGATTAATGGGTATATCGTACTGTACATCTTGCAGGGGGAGGAGACATTTTTCAGGGAAAGACTATGACAATTTAAGAAGAAGGTAAACTTAGTTTAGCTGACATTGTTTGTTTGTTTTGAAGCACAGTGTTGGAGATATTCTCCTGTTTCCCATGTTCCTTTGTAGCAGCTGGATACACAGCAATAAAACACAGGGAACATTATTGATAGTATTCTATTCCATTTAACAACACAATGCTAAATAGCGCCTTGTCTCTGCATGTTCAATTCGGGCAGTTACATCAGCTCTTGCCAGTAGCTGAAGGGCAACTTCCCAGCTGCATCATCCAGTCATCCACATGTTTGGCTTTGTTTTGCCATTATGGCCTTCTGGTGTTGCCTGGAACCCCCTCCCCCCGTTCCCTGTAAAATCGTAGATTTACAGCTTTTATAGCCTTCATTTATTTAGTTTTGCTGCTAATAAAGGGAAAATGATGAGCAACTGCTGTATGTTTGCTACGTTGACTGAATTGTGCCCACCTTACTGGTCCGGTTGATCTCACCCCGATGAGAATGAGATCTGACCGGAACGTGCAGACGTGCATCCTGGCATAATCGGATGACAAAAATCTTGGAACCAAGACCTCACAGACATGCTGTCATTCAGGAGGCCAACACGTATCAAGCCGCTCAGGGGGCTGGATTCTTTTTGCTGATATACCACCATCACCCTGTTTGGCCTGTTAACCTTTCGTTATTGTGAGAGCCATTATCTGGGAACATTTAAGTCATGTTTCAGCCAGCAAAAGCTGATTAGATAAGAATACATTATCTATCTGGAGCTGAATGTGGCTCCTAGTCGCCATTGTTCATTCATCTAGATGGCAAAACAAAGCCTTTGGGGGGGAGGGGGGTGAAGAAGATAATCCTTCAGGATCAGCTGTGTGTGGGTGGACATGAGTAAGTGTTGCTGGCCCAGACTTTCCCTCACTGCTGGTCCGTCTGTCTGTCTACCTGTCTGGTTCTCTCGTATGTCCTTGACACACTGGCTGACTGCTGGCCTGCGCTTCAGGGCTGCTAATTGGACAACGTGCACTCAACACAAGTGACCGTGTAATTTCCCATATCTCTCACATAAACCCGATTGGTTTTGGATGTGGATGGTGTTTCTGCAGACTGGCCCGAGCTGTGAGGTGTTACTGCGCATACTGTGTGTTCACACGGTCACACGTGATGGAGGAGTTTAAAGTCACTTCTGATGATGGGTATCTCAGACGAGCCCACTATCAGCTTCAAAGAGCAGGATACTATTATACCAGAATACTTTTGCTTGGCAGTCAGAGAGATGTTGGTGCGAGATTCTCAGGAATTACATTCTCAAGGAAAGAAAATGTCCTCTGAGATCGTGAAGATTTTACATTAAACACACTCTGAAAGTCATATACAGTTTTTGCTCGATGTGCACAGTCAGTCACTCTTCGGGGTCGCGAGTGACACTTGAGGAAGTTCACATTAACCAACAGGACCATATTAGCCGACCAATGATCCGCCGGCAGAGCGCTTTGCTGTCATCTCTGAAACTGATATTGTACCTCCCTCGAGCCTAGAATCACAGTTTGTCACCTCAAATGTATTTGATATTGATTTTGCTGCCCAACAACCCAGCAGGCTGACAATTTCAACGTGTAACTCAAGCCCACTACTCTGAGATGATTAGTGTTCGTCTCCTGTCTTTCTTCTGTTTCCCCTCAATACTATAACGGCATCATTCGCTGCTGTAGAAGTGTTTATTAAGATGATGTTTCAATAACTTTATGTCTAAAAATAAGGCGTTTACCGACTCTATGTCCCTTGATATATTTGATTTGAATATAAGGATTTCAAATGCCATATTCAGGTATGTATGACTCATTTAAGATCAGAACTGTATGTACCTGTTACAAAAAGGAGCCTGAAAGACGGACAAAGGAAGCGTTTCTCTTTGTCCTCTGAAGGTGTGAAGCGTCTGTGGACTGACAGGCAGGGAAATGGCAGATTGTAAGCAAGATCCAGCTCTGTTGCAGTAGAACAGCGCCAAGCTGACTGCAACATTGATCAGCATGCCGCCTTTACCGTACGATACTATCAGCTCTCACAGACATATATGCCGTGCTGCTCCCTTTACTGACGATTCATTTCTTCTGGGTCGAGCTCTTCTCATTTAAAGGCCGGGGTTCTTACAAATAAATGCAGTGGAAAAAGAAGAAAAATCTGCTGTGGATCATTTTCTCAATGCAAATATCTAAATGGATTCCAAAGAGAGATTTACTGGACAGCACTATGCGAGAATGAGCAGGACATCTAATTGTCAGTCCTCCAGATTTCTGAGGAGAGCGTTTCATAAGCAACAGTGCACGAGATGAATTAATGTATGCACCTGTGCATGTGACATTGCCCCTACACTGTTTGATGTAAGCGCTGCCACGGTGTTGTTAACCATCACATTTGCCGTACGGGTAATTTCTCTGTACATACATACGCATCATGCTGTAGGTTTGCAGATCCTTCCATTCACTCTTTTTTCATTTACTGCTCGGTGTACAGCAGATCCAAACAGACTGAAAACAGATTCTGCTTGTTCAATAGATCATATCAAAAATCCCCCTGCTTTACTAAACACACACAAATATTTACGTACGGTAGAGTTTGCTCCTAGTGCCATATGTTTACTCTGACACCATGTTACTGAATTGTTGTGAATTGCAGAAATGTTCTGCAGAGACATACAAAGGGGCCAATATATTTTATTTACTATTTAGAAGACAATATATCGGTGAACTGTCTTCAGTTAAAATCAGGCTACTGGTTCTGCTCAATTTAATAATAGATTTTTTTGTCAGCTGAGCTGAATACTGTTTGAACTCTATACTAGAGTTACTATAGCAGTTGTGTTCATTTTGGTAGTGCTGTGATGTGTAGTGCTGTGATCATGGACTGTAAGAGATGAGCCATATTGATACATGTGTGGGGTAGTTAACGCTCTGATGTTTACTCATTATTTCATGCACATTCATTGGATCCAACATGGAACTCCACTATAGTTAGAATTATGGCAGAAAGCCATTCAATTAGCTAACTATTGTTAAATTATTTTTTTTAATTATTTCTAGTCAATTTATAAATGCTATATATGCATATTTATTGGATATTCTAGTGGATATTACACCTGAATAATTGTCATTATCCATAAAACACAGGGTCCTCAACTTTAGTAAACTAGCAAAGTTGACTAATAACTCCCCCGCGTTATGTTCTCCTGTTTGTGTGATACATTACTGCCGTGTTGAACGTGGGCCTCCTGTTGTTGTTGCTTAATGAATGACCTACTGACAGATTAATTAACTTGCTCTTGATGTTGGCGAAATGAATCCGTTGACATTCTTTTGTTTCTGACATGTGAGGACTTACATTTTGCCCTGCATGATGGAAACCAGGAGTTATTGTTGTTCTTATCAGGACAAAGACATGATTCAGCCTCCAACAGCTCCTGTACGACGCAGCGACACACACGTACACACACATGAGTAGTGCACTTTGAATTAAACCCTAATGCTATTTGCACTGAGTAATATTGTATTTGATGATGAATGAAGAGCTTTGATGGCTGTGGCGACTATTTCTACATATGTAAACAAAAGCAGATCAATCTATTAAATAGGCAGCGCCGCTATTGTTTGCTCACACAAATTCTTTCATAACAGTTTCAAGTGCTGAAATCAAATCAAGAAGAAAATGTATTAAAGTCTTTTCCACAACACTGTATTGAGTTAGTCAATACAAACATGTAATTGCCGTAATTCAATATTTACATTTGGTGCTCTTGTATTTAATACGAGAAAACCTCAAATCCCACTCACTGGTGTGGTCAGTGAAGATGGAAAGACAACCCTTAAACAACCTTTCAATAAAAGGCTAAAGTTATTAGATTGATTGGCAGTGACTACAGTAAATTTATTTCTGTGACACACAATGACGTCCAGTGCTGCAGGAGGTTTATTTCATTTTTCTTCAGTATCGTGTGAAATTATGCAGTCAATTAATAATTTAGGTAATTTAATCATTCCAGAGATTTTATAGTTTGTCTTCTGATCTTTTCAGGATCCCAGAACGAAGCACAAGTTCAAGATCCACACTTATGGGAGCCCCACCTTCTGTGACCACTGTGGCTCTCTCCTTTATGGCCTCATCCACCAGGGCATGAAGTGTGACTGTGAGTACTTCATTTGATATCTGCAAACAGAGCAGTGAACGATTTATTGTCCTTATTCCCGTCTCCACCGCTATAAGTGGCTCTACACAACGTATGTTCTGTTTTAGAGCTTTATCAGCATCAGTCTCCTGAAATTGCTCCATTTCCCTGAATATCACATGTCCCCTCCTCCTTGACTTTTGCTCATCAAGATTACCCATCCATCCATCCATTGTCAAACCGCTTACCCTGCACACAGGGTCGCTGGAGTCCATCCCAGCCAACTTCGGGCAATAGACGGGGTTCATTCTGGATTGGTCGCCAGCCAATCGCAGGGCTACACAGAGACATACAACCATTCACACACCTACGGGCAATTTAAAGTCCCCAATTAACCTGATCCCCAGAGCATGTCTTTAGACTGTGGGAGGAAGCCAGAGTACCCGGAGAGAACCCACGCAGACAACATGCAGACTCCACACAGAAAGGCCACTGGGCGGAATCGAACCCAGGACCTTCTTGCTGTGAGGCAACAGTGCTAACCACCACGCCACCGTGCCGCTTCATTAACGTTGCGCCTCGTCTATTTTCAACAGCTATGTTCCGCGCGCCCAGAACAGGGTCTTTATTAATATCCCTTCCTCCCTCGTCATTACTTTAATCTTGTGTTCGTGGATTAGTCTGAATGCCTTAATGTGTCCCTAAATACATTATCCTCCACCTGCTACCGACCACCAGATATGCCTAATTATTGCTCCAGGGTGTACATAAATAGAGACGAGGAGCGGTAAATTATTTCGGCAGATCAATCACACGACTAAAAGATGGCAGTGTGTTATTTTTAAGCGCTGGTAAGCTGTGTGAGTCACAGAATCACAAACGCAAACACTTGCCGTTAAGAACAAGGTAACCGCATAACAAGTCTTTAATCAATCATTTACCTGTTGACTTGACGTCACCAACAGTTAATGTTCCCAATCCACGGCAGGGTGCTTTAGCTGGCTGACAGGGCTGAATCTGGGTCATAACCTTGTTATCTCCTCCTTCAGGCAGCTTTCGGAAAAAAAATCCCCCTTTGATATTGTGCCCAATATGTATGATACGTGGAATGAAAATTGAAATGTTTTCCTGTATACAGTGGACAAAGATAGACCTTTTTAAAGCAGCTTACTGCATCTGAACATTAAGCCATAAGAGGCTGCACGCACTGCGGTTATCATGTGATGTTTTAGCGAATATTTTATTAACGTCCTGAATTATTATCATTACTGAGGATCATAGCTGAATTTGAAAAGATATGTCCGATGCATGAACACCGTATTTAAAGCAGTCACCGGCATGTTCCTTACAACAGCTTTTTACAGTTTACATTCAGTGCACGAAGCTATTTATCTTTATGAAAACCCTGCTCGCTAATATTTTCCATCTCCTCTCTCTGTCCCTCTAGCCTGCGACATGAACGTCCACAATCAGTGCGTCATGAACGTGCCCAGCCTGTGTGGAACTGATTACACCGAACGGAGGGGGCGTCTTTTCCTCAAATGTGAGGTCACGGTGGACAAGCTGCTGGTCACAGGTGGGCCTCGTAACCGCCGCTCTCTGGCAGCACTCGCATTGGACTGAATGGGCTTAAGACGATGTCATCGTGTTAACATGTGTGTCGACCCTCTCAACTCAACTGCAACTGCCAGCTCTCAGCATGCTGCAAAGGCTTTTCCCTTTTTGTGCTCCGGTCAATAGAGCGTCCCCTGATAAACATTATCCACTAAGACCAAAAAATCACCTTTCACTGCTCCGACCCCCCAGTTTAAACCTGTGTGGTGTGCTGTGTGGGCCTCGTCCTGTTATCCTTTTTAAACGATCACAACCTGCTCAGTGTTTGCTGGAGTTTCGGATGTGACTGAATTGTCTCTGCAGAGCACATTGATACATTCATTTAAGTCTCATCGGCATCACACAAAGACGGGATCTGAGCGCCGTGCTCGTGAGCCGGGTCGTGCTCTACAATCATCTGTCTCACCATTATTCATCAGAAGGCTATTCCGCCTGATCCGTGCCAGCCACTTTAATTGCTAATGTGTCCGGTTTCAAAGACACACCTGTCTGTGCCTATTGAGCTGAGAAAAGTATACAATGAGTTACTCTTCGTGGCGTTTACTTTATGCAATGTAATTAATGGTGATGTTTTTTTTAACCCAAAAAGAGATTCATGGCAATTTATACGTTTAATGTACAACTATCTGCTCCTCCCACACTTTTCTGTCAGTATTTTTTACCCGTTGTCCTATGTTTGTTAAGCTTTCGCAGGCCTTGTCGGTTTTCCCATTACAAAGCATTTGAAAACGTGTAGTTTTCATTATTTCAATTTATAATTCACAAATTGTTTGACAATTCAGAACAGTTGGCTGGGCAGAGAGTGTTGAATAATCCTCTGAGAGCAAATGATGGCAGACTATGCAGCTGTGTTTAAGAGAGATTGAGATAATGTCATGCATAATCTGTCAAATGCATCTGCTGTGACATTCTCAGCGTCCTGGGCCAAAAGTAGCACAAAATATGAACAGCGTCTGTGGGACACCGTTTTACACATGCAGGGAGGGCTTCCAGGAACTGTGTGGTGCTACAGCAGGGTAACCCAGCATAACCCTGTTATGAATAGTGGGGACACTAGTTTATACTATTATGAAGCAATCATGGTCAAAGTTTATACAGCTTTCTGTCTGTGCACAAACACAAGTTAGACTAAAATAAGATGAAACAGGAGTGGCAAATACTTTAAAAGTATATAAATAAATAAAAGACCGCAAAAAATATGCACATTGGCCAAACTATGTATCCTCGTGGCTTTGAGTTAATTACGGTGTGGTTCATCAGTGTGTTTTTGTACAGCGGCACACTTGTTTTCTAGGCATGCTGTACAGTAAATCCCCAGGCTGCAGTGGTGCATCAGCTCGTCTGCAGAAACAATAGTGACTGACTGCAAGGACCAACACGGAGTCGTTCAATTAGCTGGCTAACGGAGGTCAGTGGATCGCAAGACCCTGGCACGGGACTCCGCTGACTTATTCATCAAATTATCACCAGAAGCACCAGAGTGAATATGTGGGCAGGGCCGTGGTCCACGACCAACACAAACATTAGAAAATGAAAAATAGGTCTAACAAGGGTTGACAGTTATGTAGCCTCTAAAATATGTGTTATGGCCGTGTTGAAATACCTAAACAGTGATAATCGTTTAAACACAGTTCAAGTGAAGAGATATTTGGTGTGAGTTGGTGAAATAATGCACAAATATTTATTCAAGATGTTCGGCAGAGACCATGTATTTCCCCTGCTCCATCTGGTTGTACCTCGCAACATGCATTCATCTCTCACAGGCCAGTCATCCGCTTGATGTCCTGTGAAATGAGAGTAGAACAATAACATTTAAAGAACAGGTTTAAGTTTATTCTGAAGCATGCTAAATAGATTCCGGTCAAAAGAAACTATATACGGCTGTCACTTCTTTCCACTTTTAACTTTTAGTTTAACTCTAATTTAAATATCCTGCAGAAATATCCTGCTGGATAACATTAAACCAGCACTGACCCGCTTCTCATAGTCACTGGCTGTCATCTTTTTTAGAAACATTACAGTCCAATACTGCTTTCATTTTTAGCTGAACCTCAGACTGCACAAATTTCAATATATTCTGATTTATTGCTAAAACCAGAGCATTCAGCCCCTGCTGGCTGTTAAAATAATTTCAATTTGAGGTGCGTCTACATCACTTTACAGACCTGGAGGTTGCAGTCTGTTTGTAGGGTATTTTCCCCATCTCTGATATTTTCTGATGGACAAGTGAACCTCTAGTTCCCACTTCTCTGTGGCAGGAATGAAAAAGGTTTGCATATACACATAAACCATAAGCATGAATTACACTGAAGCCTATTTGCTGATACACACAAACACACACACACAATGTCCTGAAGCACGCACATATAACATTTTTCATCCAAATCAGTTATGAATGATCTCACAATGAAACATTGATTCTTCAAACGAGTCACACAGAAACATAGAGATTGAGTGTGTTTTTTGTCAGTCACGGAGCGGGGGAGAAGGGGGGAGGGTGCTTTCTTTCTCCCACAGCTCCTGTTGTTTCAGCAGCCCTCTACTTCAGTGACTGGATACCTAGTACACTCGGGAGAAGACCTGTCCGTCATTTGAATCCATATTCTGCTAATCATACGTATTCTCATCCATGTGTGTGTGTGTGTGTGTGTTGCTCAAAGGTTTGGAATCGCCTGCTGCAAAAGCTTGATTCATTGTCAGACGGCAGAGAGGACAACTCTATTATTCAGAATTATCTTTCATCCTTTTACGAAACGATTTTGTGAATGAAGGGTTTGCAAAAAAACAGTCAATTTGTTTCAAAAACGCTGTACGCGATTGAACCAGACAATTGAGAGGGCAGACGGAGACAAGATCACGCAGAGCATTCAGAAGTAATTTGTATCAGTGGGTTAGGGTTAAAAATAAGTCTTAATCATTTCTTTCTTCTCCTTTTGGAGAAGGATTAAATGCAATGATTACATTTGGATTGTAAATGAGACATTTGGTGTCTAAACTTTACTTATTTTCTCTCGTTATTGAGGGAAAGAACAGCAGTGTGTGTCTGTTTGTGCAGCCCTTTCCCCATGCAGGTCTTGTGGGAGTGTGTGAGAGACGTTGGTAATAATTACATTTCGGTTGTGTTCCCTCGTTCACTCACCCAGTTCTGGAGAAAAGCCTCATTTAACAAGCCTTCTGCCCTGCGTCTCACCTCAGCTTCAGCCATCTCAGTCTTTCTCCCCTCTCAATAGCCATGTGTTTTTTTGTTTCATATGTAGGTGCAGTGTAGGTGTGAGCAGGTCAGATTGGTGCACAGAGTAGATATAAGATGTAGGTGGATCAGGGAAGCTACATTTAACTTTTGAGTAGCAAAAACAGTAAAGGGCTGCTACAAATCCACCCTTAAACACTTTTAGGAGCTTACACGCATTTCACTGCCACTTTCATAGTTATCCATATAGATAACCCAATATAAAAAGTGGAAAATCCAAACGTTATGTCAACAGTGCTTCTGCTTTGGGAAGAATACGCTGGCTTTAATGGTAACTTCTGGTGCTTTAGACTCTCTGAAATACATCTTTGAAAGATTACAAATACTTTTAACAGCATTCTGGGAACTGCAGGTGAACCGAAGAGTTTCGTTGTACCTCAAGGAAGCTTAATTAGGTGTTAAGTGTGCACAGTACACTGTGCAGCAACCCTGTACAGTAGCTATAAATGCGTGTCTCCACTTTCAACCCTTGTAGCAATCAAGTCACTGTAACTATATCATCATTCCTTTTAGGGCTATTTTAGGGTGCTCACCGTGGGCAGAGTATCAGCTGTTGCTCGATGGTGCAGCACATCCTCCATCCGATGCCTCCTTGCATTTTAGCCAAATATTCTATTCAGACTCGGTAAATTAATGAAAGTTTGCCCACTTTATTTAATTCTGTAGTTCTTCAAATTATTGTACAATTAACGTCTTTATTTGCGGCTTGCAGATCTGAGCGTGTTACTGGTACGTTTCTCATTCAGCCAATCATTCAAACACCCAATAAGATCCTCTCTGTTACTATTGGCTCCGCGAATCCAAGGAAAGCTCAAGGTTCGGTCTGGAGTTTAGATGCAGCCTGAGGGTGGCCAATCGATAATTGCTGCCCGATGCTCTGGATGCTGCTGGTTTATTGCCGCTGCTTCCCCTCTCCAGCCTTTTCTCACTCGTTTCCGGTGCTTTCTCGCTTCTGAGTCATCGTGTGGAAAAGCTAAGAGGTTCTTGCCAAGAGAGAATCTAGTTAAAATCATTTTCCCCATGAATCAGAGTCAAGATGGAGCGGCTGACAGCACTCGTGTCAGTACGGACACCAGCCCTTTTAAAAGTGTGTCATGTCTTAATGTTCTGTAGAGAGCTTCCGGGCTAGATAACAGAAATAATGATGCAGGAATTGTCATTTTAAATATTGTGATGTGATATTTTAATCTATAAACTCCACCACAGTTCATTTTCAGCATACATTATGTTTCCAAGCTAAAGGAATGAATCCTCCTTTTTTTATCCCCTCGCTCATACTTGAGGCATGCTTGTCACTCTTCATGCTGATGTAATACTGCATTGAAATGCTAACAGTCCTGCCTCTTTTCAGGAGTGGGCTGTCCAAGCAGTTTTATAGGCTGCGTTTGCACAGGGCGGTGAAGAACAAACACGGCTCACCTTCTTTTTTTGAGATGGGTTCATGTGGAGCCGGCTGGAGACAAGGCATAGTGTGTTTGTCTGTGGTTCTGGGTTTGACGTTCTGCCTCCATCGTAGTAGGACTCACATTCAGCCTCTCCTTCTTTCGGTGTTTCTGTGGAGCTCACAGAAGAACAACTGAACTCTGTTGCCGTGAGATTTTTGCTGCAAAGTCATTGGTATTCCTGGTCTGTCGCCTCTGCCGCGCCACGGCTACCACTTCTCAGCATCAAATGTATGCCTCTGACTTTTATCGCTTCCCTTCTATCTGCCCCTTCTTGTTGGCCCTTCTTCCTGCTTTGCTTGTCTCTTTTTTTTGTTTGTCCTTTTTTTCGTTTTGCAAAAGAATCTTCAGTCTGCATCGCAATAAGCCTCCGAGCCAGAATCTAACTTTGCTTCCTGTGCAATGGTCGGACTGTGGGAGTCAACGATGAGATCTCCACAGCATAAACCTGAGCAACATGCTGCCGTTATAAGTTCAGAAAGCTTGGTAAAGCTTGGTTATTATGGAAATTCCATGACACTGAGCTAATAACAAAATAATAAACCAACCTTTTTTGTGTTAGTTTTGGGCAAAGCATGGTGGCATAAAGCACAAAATCAAGTTGTTTCTTTAAGAAACTTTTGAACTTGAGCGGCTCTTTAGATGCGAGCCAAGATAGTGTGAAGACTTTGTATCTAGGCAACAATGTCACATGATCGCCTGGATTCCTTTGTCCTAGAGTGTGTTTTTGCATACGCATGTCTTTCTAAAGTCATAAAGCACACAGAAATCATTATGTCATTTTCTCTTTAAGACACAAACTACAAATTTGTTTTTTCATTGAACAAAGATAATTTGACCTTTATCAGAAATGTTCAGCGACACAGAGAACTTGAGTTTGTGGTCAGTGTCCGTCTCTGCAGTACATCTGAAAGGGATTAGAGCTGCACACACATCTGGGTTGGTTTATAATGCCACACAGTTATATGGAAGGAAAAACTATGTACCCGCCATGGTGAATCAGAGGGTCTAGGATGCCCCCCTTTGGTCATGACTGGAAGTAGTAGACCTCTCACGACTCACTTGGTTGGTCTGTTTGTAGGCTTTCTATAAATGGGATTTGGGTGCGCCTGCTTTGCATACAATATGTAGGAAATATTCAAAACATGACCTTTTACACAGGGTTAAAAGCTCAAGAAGGAATCATTTGAAGCAGAAATAGCAAATAGCATTTTATATGGACCTGCACTTAAATATAACATATTTCACCGTCTTTGTAGTTATTAATTCAGGTTGGACACTGTGTGGGTGAAAACAGTATAATATAGGTTCTTAAAAGACAGAAAGGTGCTCCATGAATTATTTAGTTATTCTTCAGATACACAGCCTAGTATAAAGCAGCAGCCAGCTGTTTTTCAGCAATAAAAGTAATCAACGTAATAGTTGTAATAATGATAATACATTTATTTTGTAAAACGTTTGAGAGAGGCACTCAAGGCTCCTTTAAACTGGTTATAAAAACAAATGTATTTAGCAAACATCAGCAATCTATCTAAAGGTGGTTTCTTTTACTGTACAATATTAAAGTGAATTTATATATTTCAGTCTAACCTTCTCTGTGGAACAGTGCATCCATATTACACCGCGCTCAAGCACAAATACACTAAACACTGCAGAGCCAGTTGTTCTTTGGTGCCTGCAGACCGACACTGTTCTATTGGATTTCTCTGGGTTGCCAACTCCGGTTCGCTCAATACCTTCCCACACCTCGAGTTGCTTCTATGAGCTGCTGTTTGTCTGTCTGTCTCTCTGTCTGTGTGTGTGTGTGTGTGTGTGTGTGTGTGTGTGTGTGTGTGTGTGTGTGAGCTCGCATCAATCTTCACACCTCACTACCATCGCTCAACACTCAAATCCCACGCCACAGGTCCTGGGAATAAAAGCAAACATTGGGGAAGTATTTGCTCTTGGCTCATTAAATAGCCTTTTGGTGCAGCTGCACGGAGAATAAAACGACTCTGCGTTGTCATGAAGTGTTCCACCTGTGGCTCCATAATATAAATAGCCTACTCTGCTTGATAAGGTTTGTTGCATCCTAGGAGGGAAATAATCATACGGCGGTGATGTTCTCTTTAGCCTTTGTAACAGTTTCTGAGTTGGCGCAGTGGTGACAATCCCACGTTGACGCTGTTCCTAATCCCATCAATACTGCATCTCATTCAGAGGATTTAAACTAACCCAGTGGGTTTAGCCGCTCTCTGGTGCAGTCATTATGTACGGGCTTAGTGTCTTCCTCTACAGGTCAAAGGTCATTTAGCGTCTTTGCCACCCAGTTTGGACTGACTGATGGCGACACATGGAGGGGCTTCTGAAGTTTAGCGATGCAAGGCGGGCCGTCGCGCTGTCCCCCTCGGGGTTGCGTTGTGTGGAGATAGCCACAGTCTCAGTGTGGACAGGGATCTCTCTCTCTCTCTCTCTCTGTGTGTGTGTGTGTGTGTGTGTGTGTGTGTGTGTGTGTGTGTGTGTGTGTGTGTGTGTGTGTGTGTGTGTGCGCACACACACTGTGCTGTCGCTCAGGCACTGCTCTGGTGCTCCGCGCTAATCGAGAGCTAAGGTCCCTGGTGTGCCGCGGTTTACAGAGCTGCTAAATACAGGAGGGCAAGGAGGAAGCCTGCACCTACGACATTAAGCATGTCACAGCCTGCAATCTGGAATCACTGCTGTCATGACACTTCCTCCGCTTGCTTCCTATGAGGCTCGGCGCCGTAAGCAATCCTCAAAGGTCGGCAACATGTTCATTGAGCTGTTCAGCAGGTATCAGGACAGTAACTAGCAGCTCATTATGTTTGAGGAGGAAGGCTGTGCTCTACCTCAATTAGGGAGACTCAGTGGAGTAAATTAAAACATGTCTTTTGTTAAAACTGTATAATTAAACTCTTATTCTTTACCCCCCCCTCCCTCCTGATCAGTGAGTGAGGGCAAAAACCTGATCCCCATGGACCCCAATGGCCTCTCTGATCCGTACGTCAAGCTCAAGCTCGTACCAGACCCCAAGAATGAGACCAAGCAGAAGACCAAAACCATTCGCTCCAACCTCAACCCCAAATGGAACGAGACCTTTAGCTTGTGAGTAAATGACCTGTTGTCGCCTAGTTCTCTGACATATTACAAGGTTATTCTTATGTCAGCAGTATATTAAACAAGCCACTGAAGCAGCTATTTATTCTACTACTACTAGAACTACTGTCCAATCCAAATATGCCACGACTTATTCTTCAATTATAACGTTTGTTGTTCATTGCCTGTAATTTTATTTCTTTTTAATGCTGACAGTTCTCAAATAGTGGAGCATTTTTTTCTTCTTTAAAATAAAAATGAATAATTTATAGTAATTAATCATCCTACTCGCTCTGCCTCGTGCTGTCACAACTGAGATAACCACGGTTTTCACTTTCACCACAAATGATATCATGCAACAGCATTATAATATTTCAAATGTAGTCGTCAAACGTGACCCAACATAACCACCACGTGCACGGTGTCTGTGCTACACAGCAAGCTGAAGCCGACTGACAAGGACCGCAGGCTGTCGGTGGAGGTGTGGGACTGGGACCGGACCACTAGGAACGACTTCATGGGGGCCCTCTCCTTCGGCGTATCGGAGCTGATGAAGGCGCCAGTCTGTGGCTGGTAACTAACGCTCGCCTCCGTATTGTTTTGAATTACACCCCGTGTTTCAGTTTGAAGCCCGGCAGCTTTGTAACGCACCCACAATTCCCTTCTATGAAATATATTTGCGTTTCACTTTCACCTCCTTGAGAATTCAAAATTTTTTCAACTATCTCTATGCTTCATTCAAGTAATTTAACAATTGAATGATATATCAAAAATGTAACATACGACTGTGTGATTTTGGTGGTACCTTCTGAATAAGAAGCAATAGATATTTTTGTCAGAGATATTACATGCACATGCTCAAAGAAATTATAAAGAAAAGGGTTTAACAGTGACGGTGTACAAAACTCACTCTGTTTGTTTCCACTTCTGTACTAATGAAGAGGCCACACTTTCACTCCATTTGTCCCGTAGTTAAACTTATTTAATTGAAAGTCGGGTTTTCTGTTTCTCACTATGCGCTTTGTGAAGTGTAAACAGGTGGCACAGGTGCTGCTTTACCATCATTTACCGTATTTACATTCACAAGTTTTTTATCTCAAAATGTTTTCCGGTCTGTGTCGCCCATCTCCCCTCTCCTGGCGTCTCTCTCTTCCAGGTATAAACTGTTGTGCCAGGAGGAAGGGGAGTACTACAATGTTCCCATCTCGGAGGAGGACGACGGGAATGAGGAACTCAGGGAGAAATTTGAGGTGATCATTTTTGCTTGTTGACCTTAATTACAATCCCGACGTCTTGTCTTATAAAAGGTCACGAGCAGGTACATCAGCCAACCTGGTTCAGTGTTGCCGCTAATGTGGTAACTGTCTTTGACACGGCCTCCTATTGTCTTTCCTTTAGACAACTTTACCTTGTTAATCCAATTCCTTGTCCTTAATCCATCCTTAAACAAGCATGTGTACGGGAACTTGAAATGAACCCAACGGTCAACTTCTCCTCAGCTACAGCTGTTGGATGCAAATGACATCGCTGCAGCTGCAGCTTTCAAAGACCTCCTCCGCTCTCAGCCTCTCGTTCGAGTTGTGTGTTTGTCACCGATTGTTAGCGTTTTGTTCCTCCGTCAGAGAGATTCGTGTCTGGGATCCAATCACAGCAGCCCACCAACAGCTGTCTTTTAAGACATGCAGTTTTGTAAAACATTTTGCATTTCAAAGACTTTGACTTTATGAAGATTTGATGCCTGAAAGCTCAATTTGTTCTGATCCCACAACTTGTTGCAGTTGTTTGGGGTGGGATTAACATTATTCATGTTTTTGCAAGCCGTTATATGTAAAGATGCGTGTAGTACTTGTCAGACTTTGTAATGAAATGAACCCCACGTACAGTATCATACATATATATATATATATATATATATATATATATATATATATATATATATATATATATAAATATTATCTATTCTAAACACTCGTAAGAAACGCAAATTGAAGTTGCTTTGTGAGAGGAAAATTGGATGAACAGTACTTGAGTTTCCATAATCGTAAGTAAATCACACATTACTTCCTCTCCAATGCCTCCCGAACACACATTTACAAACTCACACACAGTACTGTACGAGACTCTTCGAGCGGAGGCCGCTGTTGAGACACTGTTGCCTTTGACTTCATTCAATTTCTGCATTGAATTGTCCGGCTTGCTGCGACTGAGGCAGCTCTTCTGTCCATCAGAGGTGCTTAAGTTAACTAGTTAAGAATAGGAGTGTTGATAATGTCAGGGAAGCGCCCGACCTTCTCTCACCTCCCTGAATTTAGTTGTCATAGCAGCAGGTGCACAAGTACATAATATTTACCAAATAGGAGGTTTGTGTGTCAGAGTTCAACAGCTGGTCTTATAACCTGCTCACACACTCATGCTTGTCTTGGGTGTTACTACAACAAAGCTCGCTATTGACTCTCTCAAACAAATATCAAAAATCAACCGTTGGGATTTAAAGTTTGAGTAATCAATACATATAAATATTTGTGCAAAATTACACATATTGGTTAAGACAGAGATGTGAAACTTTCTATTGTTTTAATTTCTAAAATCATTTTCTTTCATTTTCTTTTAATTTTCCATCCATCTTTGTGCATCATTGGGATTTGATTGTTTTCAATAGAAAATGGAGACAATAATTTCAGTCTTACACAGAAGATAACATTTTTTTAATGATTTTTTTATGGTCGTTATATAGGAAATTATATCATATTTTCCTGTGTACATTTATCAAGCATCAGATAAAAACATTTATTTTGTTTAAAAAATGTTTCATCCAATAGACACTTATTATTTTTGGACTCTATGGTCCAAAAATAATAAGTGTCCCCAGGGATATGAAGTTGGACAATGTGTCTACTTTCTCCATTTTTAGATTCACTGGAATTAAGAACCACAAAAATACTTCACGTTGGCGAATTTTTTGACCACTAGATGTCAGTATTGAATTTATAAATAATACCAGGCTCCTTATCGGGGCAATGAGCAATTGTGTGTGAGTGTTTAGTGTGTCTGTTTTGTGTGTGTGTGTGTGTGTGTGACTGTTTAGTGTGTGTGTGTGTGTGTGTGTGTGTGTGTGTGTAGGGGTGCTGTGCCTGCGTGCCATTCACGAGGCCTTCATCAGTGTACTTGCAAGGGAACATCTTATTTTTTAACATCCCTGAAATTGGGAAGTCATTGACCTGCTGGGGAACGGGTCCTCTTTTTACGCCGCGTTGCGCCGCCGTTTTTCTAAAGTAGTCCAGAAAGGAAAAAACACTCACTGGCTCTACAGAGCCATTCATTATCGTAGGTTACCTGAAGGAAACAATAATTCTATGACACATTTCTCCCTTTGCTTTGTACTCTTCATACCGCTTCCTTGGTGGAGTACAGGTATGCTTTTCATTTGGAAAAATGCACATGGTGTTTGTGGTACTGTTGAACTTAGCATTATGTTTCATTTCTAAGCTTCAAATTTCTACTTCGATTGTGTAATATATTGATCCTAGTCTCTCTTGACACAGAGTTCTGCATTCATGGAAGTTTTCTTTAAGAGGCAACACGAGGCACTAAAACCTGAAACGGCCCCACTGGGACTTGTGAAGTAAAATAAACGTTAATAGTATCTTTACTAAGGAGCTGAATTGATTGCGGAGAAATACCCGATCCACCAATACTGAGTGACGTTGTGATCTACTTTAAATCTAATTATTCCAAAGGGTTAAAGCGCCTTTTGTGTTTAAATATGATTTCTGCATCTTTGTTTACCCGTGTGTGTGATCCGCCCTCAACTACCAGCGTGTAAAAAACACTTGTACTCAGTGAGGTCGGGCCTTCTCCCTCCCTTCTCCCTGTGGTTACAGGACCAAAGGATTATGAAAGACTCTGATCAGGTGTGTCTGAGGTAGATGGAAGTAAGGCTGCTGCTCGCTCGGCTCGGCCAGCCTCTTTCTTACCGGCTCAAGCTTACAGATGTGCTGTGATCTGGTGCGGTCTGCTCTGCTTTGCATTTGCCCTGCGGCAGACGGGGCTAGATGCCATTAACCAAACTAAAGCTGCCCTTGTTAAAGGTCTTTTAATTCAGAATAGTGTGGAGTAGTCTGGATTGGGTTTGTAATGAATCCTCCTTAATGATGCAACCCTGAAAACTCTTGTTTGGGATTAGAGTCACAGATTTTTGTCAACGTGTAGTGTAGTGAATGCTTAAATGACCTTTGGCCTACTTTCTAGGTGAGATGACTGTACTCAAAAGGGGTTTGGCTTCCTTGCTATTCGTTCCAATTTAAACATTTCAAAAGTGAAGCGCAAGCCAAGCTCCCTGCGGCATGTGGCTGTAGATTACATCTGTGGTGTCGATTGATCCGCATGAGTTTGGATCTGTGTTTTCACCATGGGATTGTGAATACTGGACATGGTAATCTTGGTCGTGTTCTTGTGAAGAGAGGTTCAAAATATTGGATCGTTGTTTAGCATTCGGTCTGCCATGAAGTTGTGTATTTGTACAGCGTGGTGCACTGTTCTTGTCGGAGCATCTTGCCGTACTGGGAGGTTACGCATGACGTGGGCATGAATGAAGTGAATAGAAGAGAATCTGTGTGCATTTTTGCAAGTGGACATGAAGGACTTCTCTGGAGCGGACATGCTGTACCAGAGCAAGGCCTCACTGTGGTATCTTCAGCTTCATCACTCTCACAGCCAGCTTTCAAAAGGAAACTACCGCAGGTGCTCTCTTTTCATACTTTGCCTTTAGCGTTACATGTAATCACAAAATAAAAACTGTCCTTAAACATAAATTTATTGTTTAAATGTTTTAAGACTGAGCTGCAGGTTTTTAATATGAATCACCAAAAAGATTATGTCGCTTTTACTTAATGTAACAGTTTGCCATCGTTCACACTTTTCCTTTAAACTAATAATAACCATCAGTACAGAGATTACAATTAATTCAAATTACTTGTAATACATTTTAAGATGGTTTGGTCAGAGCTAATGCTTTTAATTAGTAGTTTTAATACAGGAACACCATGGTAGAAAGAAACGTCCATTTATTCTCTCGTTTGCCACAATTCAGTACACTCAAATTGTTTGTAGCCTTTATTTGTGTGTGTAAATGCTCCACAATGGCACCACAGACTTATTTCACTCTATTCATTTTAAATTCTGCTTATCAGTCAGTGTATTATGAAAATGAGTAAGCACAGTGTGAGTGTGTGAGCACACGTAATGGTGGTATTTATATATAATATCTTGTGTAAAAAGAAAACATTATTTTATCCGTTGGCCGGTGACATTCTCTCACTTGTTGTGGAACCCCCCCAAAGGAGCTCCATCCAAGTACATCATTGTTTCAGTATCTTCTACATTTTTTTCATGCAATAACTTATAAAACATCTTATGATTTCAGGAACTTGTCATCTTGTCTGAGCAACTCACTGTACCTTTTTGTTGTGTGTGTGTGTCACTCAAAGTCTTTTTTAAAGCTGCACATTTCTTACACACCTCGCTTTGTCCCCTGAGTGCAGAAAGCCAAGCTGGGCCCGGGTAAGAAGGGGATCACAGAGGCGGACGGCAGCCAGTCCATCCAGCCGCCCTTCGTCAGCCTGAACGAAGTCAAACTCAGCGACTTCTCCTTCCTGGCTGTGCTCGGGAAAGGGAGCTTCGGGAAGGTGAGGCCTAAAATAAAAACACTCTCGTGGCCACAAAGCAAGCGAAAGCAGCGCGTAAACAGCAGGCTGAACTCGGCTGGGATCTTTTCCCAATGTCCCTCTGAAGGTCATGCTGGCGGAGATGAAGGCCACAGAAGAGCTGTACGCAATAAAGATCCTGAAGAAGGACGTGGTGATCCAGGACGATGACGTGGAATGTACCATGGTGGAGAAGAGAGTCCTGGCGCAACAGGACAAGCCCCCCTTCCTCACACAACTGCACTCGTGCTTCCAGACTGTGGTAGGTGAAATACTCCCTGACACACATCAGGAAAATGTCATTTGGGTCAGGTCAGGTCCAATTACAATACCACGGGGCTTTTGGCTGAGCGGCTTAGTCATGAAGGGTTGTGGAGAGCAGCAGAGGGCGTGTACGACAAGTACAATGTAAACAAACAGACCCTAATTAGACGGCTGTGCTTTGTGTCTGTGTGTGTGTGTCTGTGTGTGTGTGTGTGTCTGTGTGTGTGTGTATGTTTGTGTGTGTATACAAAAGCATTTCTGCTGTGAGTCATCCCAAAACCAGACTACAGGACCTCAGAGCACGTACTGTATGAGTAAAGAAACATGTAATTGTACGGTAATATGTGTATTTCTAGCACACACATACCTTCACTGTTGTATGAGAACAGTTCCAAGAAAAAAATGAACTAAAATATGAACTAATATCAAATGTGCACAAATATGCATGAATTTATATGAACTTCATTATTGTAACATGCTACAGAAAAGTCATTTCAGCCTCAGTCCGGTCTTGTGCATACGTATATTTAGCATAATTAGTGTTTCTAGTGTGAAGGTTAGAGACTCAAATGTCCAAGATCAGATCAGCTTTGTCAAACCTTCCGTCAGCTCTGCGGCTGTCTGAGGTGTTTTGTTTGTGTTTTGCTAGTGAGAGACTCTCAAGGCCAAACGCGTCACGGGCAGTAAGGGACCAGCGGTACCAGACAGAGAGAATGTGCCTTGACAGATGTCCGTGTTGAGTGTTTCCTTTCTCCGTGAAGCTCTTTGTCGTGGCTTTTTTAGGTCACCTTGTCGCGGAATGTGTGTTAGGAAGGATAGAATGACTCAGACAGCGAGGTTACGGTCGGCTGCAGCACTGAGTTTTATGTCTCCGTTTGAAGCACATGCAGTATATATACAAATCGTTTGTAATTTCACAGCTTTTGTTTAATGCTTATTTTCCTGCAAAACGATCCCTGCCCCTCTCCTTAAACTCTCTCTTCTATTCCCACGTGTTTGAACACAGGACCGTCTGTACTTTGTCATGGAGTACGTGAATGGCGGAGACCTCATGTACCACATCCAACAAGTTGGCAAGTTCAAGGAACCTCAGGCAGTGTAAGACTACTGTTTAGTGAATCATTTTGCTCTTTCGAATAGACTTCCTATGTTTGTTTTAGTTTGAGAAAATCATTACTTTTGTTTTTAAAAACCCTCATAGCGCTTGCAAGGTGAATAATAGAATTCCATGCTGCGTTGTTACTGAAGCAGTAAGCTCCAACAGTAATATGATCGCTCTGTAAGTAATTCTTCTTGGATCGCAACAAAGTAAGATCCTTTGCGTTTAAAGGTCTGTGGTTTATGTTTTGCAGGTTCTATGCCGCAGAGATCGCTGCTGGTCTCTTCTTCCTGCACATTAAAGGAGTCATCTACAGGTGGGTAACAATTAGTTCATGCATCAATCAATTCCGCCGCTGCGTTTAAACTAATAATCCGATAGCCGTTGATATAGAATAATTATTTTTGAGCCGTAATCTTTTTATCAGCTCTTTCTTGAGTTACTGTTTAATCACTGTAATAAACAGTGTAAAAATAGTGGTTTTAGGATTGGGATTGAGAGCCACCTTCTGAAACACATTTGAACAGCAAATTCAACATCTTCAAGGATATTTAGCCTCTTTGTGGGCCTCCCCAGGGATCTGAAGTTGGACAATGTGATGCTGGACTCGGAGGGACACATTAAAATTGCTGACTTTGGCATGTGTAAAGAGAACATGGCCGAGGGAGTGACCACACGCACCTTCTGCGGCACTCCCGACTACATAGCCCCAGAGGTAAGGCTGAGCGAGAGATGTGTGTGCGTGCTTGTTTCCTGATGCATGAGGTCGTCTCGGTCACTGTCTGGTCTGAGCCTCCGTCACCCTTGTGCTCCAGATTAAGGTTACTGCCTCGGGACGGATGAACACACTCACACGAGCGCTCTCTCATGACATAAGCATACTAGTGTGACAGACGTCTACTGTGTCCGCTGGCAAGTTCAAACACAACCGTACAAGCTGGTGTCTCAGTGTTTCCCACCGGCTTTTCTCCCAAGCAAGTTCAATCCAATTTGCCGAGACGGATACCTGCTGGTTTTTGTTCTTGTTGACTGGTATCTACGAGCGACCTCCACAATTGTGTCCATCGGTCCATTTCATCAACATGTCTATAATACTGAGTTTTTCCAGAAATAATTTCATGAAAGCACCTCTTAAAATGTGACATGTGCATACATTCAGCATGAAAAAGAGTAAAAATGCCAAATACCAAATCAACAGGTCAATGACTAATTGTCTTTTTGACTTATCGACTTCCAAGGTAGTTTCCACATGTTTAACGTTCTGCTTTTAAAAATCATCTCACAGCAATAGGGATTTTTTACCGCTGTTCATTTTTCTTGTTGAATGTATCTCTCTTTCAAAATAGCTGAAACTGTTGGTGGCAAAAAGGATTCAACACTATCCGTCCTCTATATTACACAATGCGTGCCCATTTATTCAGTGTCAGTTTTTTTCTAACAAGCCTCTGATTGTTCATCAACTAACGTGTCATCTGTCACTTGTGTCACACGTGTCACTTAGCTTGACCCTACACCTCATTCATTAATGACACCTCAGGTGTCCGTAATATGGGATGATTGATATTTGTAGACCCGGGAAGTTCCATCACAATGGTTCCTGAGATAAAGAGTCAATGGGATTTTTCCATTACATGGTGTGATGGCATTTTAATGTCTCATTTTACAAGTGTTTATTTACTGATGTATTTCCTCTCGTAGAAACATAGAAAACATTGAAATCTCTTGAACCGAAACCCATTTGAAAACCCTAATTACTTTCAGGCGAGGCAACTGCAGAGCAACAACGTAAACTCATCTCCAAGTTTGAGGACTCATTCCTGCAGCACTTTATGGGGGTGCTCAGCAGTCCGGAAACTATGGCTTGATTCAAATAATCCCAAAAACATTTTCTTCTCTAACCACTGACCCTTAACGGACAGCCCAAGCATTTTGTAGCTGTATTCAAATTTCCCAAAGGCCAATGACAAAAGTCAATACCATAATGACTCCTGGTCCTTCTGTAGCACACACAAGTTGAGGAGCACTTCCCTCCATCTCCTACAATGTCTCCACTGTCAGCTTCCACTTTCTGAATGTGTGTGAAAGAATACATGTGCACAGATACGGATGCAGAAACGTTTTACTCATGTGATGCTGCCATGCATGTGACATTGTGTGTGTGTGTGTGTGTGTGTGTGTGTGGCATTGAATGTGGGCTCTGTTCACATTGCTATGGATACAGAAGCTGCTCCCCCCCCTGCTGTGTCATCGCTGGCTGACACATTAGTGTCAGTCTGAATGTGAACAGTCACAGCATGTTCACCCTGAGTCTGTTGGGCAGAATTAACCTCGCAGTCTGTCAGAGTATTCTTTTAGAGGGAATCAATAACCCAGGACACCATTAAATAGAAGCAACTCACTGATAACAGCTAGAGAGTTGGAAAAAACGAAAATCAGTAAATGAATCATAAACCGGCTGAAGCATGCAATCTTTCCTGGGGCTGTATTGGATGAAATTAAGTGAGACAAATAAAAGGATCAACTGCACTGTTCATAGATACTCAGCAGCACTTCAAGATTCGAGGAGCCACTGGCAGAGCTTTTTTTTGGAGATTATTATTTATGTAGTTGCTTTCAGATTGGCCGTGGTGGTTATAAACATGCAGTAGATAAAACAAGCCTACCCATAGATTATTGTGTGTAATATGTATTATGTTATTTTTAAAAGTATTGCACAAACTCAGTTATTTAGCTTAACAAACTCTGTTTTGATTCTTTTTAGTGACAGTACGACATGTTTAGGACTCAAATCTGTAGGAATTCAACTTAACTTGAGGGCACTTGAGACTCACATAGTACTTGCAAAACAACGCCTTTGTCCCGTCTCAGATTGGTGCACAGCAAAGAGGGTTAGTAATGACACTGAAACATGCCTCATTATGAAAAAGTCTGTAACTATTTCCGACGCCTTTAGTCCTCAATAAGCTCGTCAGCGATCCAGTCAATAACTTCTGCATCTGCTCCGCTGAATGAGGATAAACACATGCAACACTTATATGAGCTGTTATATTGAGGTCCCTTCTACAAAATGGAAACGTGTTTGTTGGTTTGAGCATGTTTGTATCTCACCATGTGTGATAAAGCTGTGAGATGAAATATGAGAAATATTTTTTTTCACGCTTCCATCTTTTACACACAGACACACACACACACACACCTGCCCAAATGCCCATAACGTGTTAAAAGAGTACATTTCTATGTAGCAGCTGGTCCCCTGGCTGTCAGCAGCTATGTGACAGAATGCTCCTGCATCCGGTCACACATAAACACACATGTGCTGAAACACAGTTCAGTGTGACCTATAAAGCCTCATTGGGAGCTCCTGTTTGGTAGGAATGCTCACACTCATGTGAGTTTACACCTTAATGACTTTAACAGAGAGAAAGAGAGGGAACACAAAGGGAGCTCAAATGTTGACAAGAGTAGCCGGACATTGAGGGGGGAATAAGGACAGGATTAAAATGAGCAATGTTTGGCCGTCTGACACAGGAAATTTCCCTCTCCGCCCCAGTTGGTCAGCGTTGGCATCAGGAGGCATTGGAGTCCACTTCCTGCTCACTCACTGTGTGGGCTGAAATGGCGTTAGGTGTGTTTGTACGGTCAGGATCACAAGAATTGCTGCTGTTTAGATGCTCATGCTGTCGCTGAGCTGGTGTTCCTCCTCAAAGTGTTAACGTGTTAGAAATCGAGCGCTGCAGGAGCAGAGTTGATGGATACAACCGAGAGCTGAATAACGTTTTTAGGTGACAGAAATTTAACTCACTGTGAAATGGTTAAAGTCGTAGCTGACAGACAGTAAACTCACAGAATGAAAAACCAGTAGTTGCGACGTGTAAATCACAAAGTATACACGCCCTAAAGCACACCCTACTTTATGTTTTATTTTATTGTCAATGGGACCATGATTGACTGTATTAACATCATGCTGAAGACTTGGAACTAGACCATAAGTTCAAGTTTACAACATTTGCTGAGGGAATAAATCATGTGAGAAGTAGCGTTGTTTTCTCCTAATCTTTACAGAAGTCAGTACAAGTAGTCTCCCCCCGATGGACAATAGAAAGAGTGAACTTTTAAGTCTGACTGTTTCCCTTTTTAGAACCTAAGGTTTCTAGCTGTTTTCATACTGGCTCTTTTAAAATGAGAGTAAATTATTTAGACGCAGGCGTCTGGGCCGTGCACAATTCAGTGTCATTTAAGATGCAGAGATGCTGTTTTATATGTACAGTATTTGCTGAAAAATAATACTCGTAGCAGATCCTTGTCATTTTAAAGGTTTCAGGGCTAGGAATAGCAACTCTGAGTCGTTGAAGTCTTTCAACATGTTTTCAGATCAGCGCTATTAGTAATCCTACATAATCACTTCGTCTCTTGTTGCAAAAGGGAATGTGATGTGAGAAACTGTCGGGTGAAAAGGGGGAAGTGAAACGGAAACTGCAAATTAGACAGAAACACGGAGAGATGAAGAGATGCCAGATCATTAACACTGAAAGATTCAGTAGTTAGTTATATATATGACACTATTCACGTTAGACATTATACTTCTTGTGCATGGCACTTTGCTGTATTTTTCCTTTTCCTTTTAATGACCACCATAATTAACTGATGTCAGAGTACAAAATAGATACCGGGATAAATTAAAATAAATACTCAACAATATCTCTGATAATGCATTATATGCTGCTGTACTTATGTGTAATGATATATTATATATTGCCCTACATAGAACTGTAAGATATTCATCTATTATTTACTCTTCCTTTTGTTTACAAAAAAACATTTTAAATAAATATCATTACTGAATGAAACCGACCACAACAGGCGCAAAAAAAATGACAGCGGAATGATTACACCAATGAAGCACTGGTCAGCCTGAGTCCGCTCCACATACATTCTTTGAAGAATAACAACAAAGAGGCAAATAATCATGTAGAAGCAGAGGCGCTCTGCAGTGAGCATCCTTGAGAGGGTAACAATCTGACCCACAACTGTCATGGAGCATTAGGCCAAATTGGGAGAAACGTCTTCAGCAATGCCAACACACATGCTCACACGCAGGCTGTTCAAGCACACGGACACAACACAAACACACACAGAGGCACATGGATACTCGGGCATTTTGACTCAACAAAATATAATAGAGATAATATATGCAGAATCACATTCATGTACACAGTTGCATTAAACTGTCCATGACTCAAAGCAGCTTTACCGACCACAGGCTTTTATTCTAGAGATTAAAGAATAAAATAGGGGGAGAGCAGGAAATGCCAGGAACGGACACGCTTTTCTTTTTCCATCGCTCCGGCCACCGGGCAATAGGAGAGAGACTTTCATAGATGTATCAGCCTCCTGCATGCAGCAGTGGCCAAGCATGTTCGTATATATCGTGAATGAGTGGAAAGCCGGAAACTTTGGTTCAGAGCACAAAGGCCACCGTGCCTGAAACTGTAGAAGTCCGCCAGCGTCTGCAGAGAGGCTGGTGGCGAGGGCACGAAGTCACCGCGGCATCATGTTACACGGCGCTGTGCACGTGTCCTGAAACACATTAAAACATTCCCCTTTTTTTCCCCCTTGCTGAAGTCCAATTGTTCTCTTTGTTTTTTTTCTTCTTCACTATCACTGACTCTGAATCCGACTCTGTCGCCATCTTCACACTTTTAGGTTTCTCTCTGACAGGTAAAAAAATCAGCAGGTTACTTCTGAGTAAACCAAGACAATTTGTGTGGATATGTGCTTGAGCTTAAGTCCGGTTCACTTTCTTAATATAGAGTTGTGACATGCGAAACTGCAGCAGCTGATTATATATAATTAATAATAATAAACAATTTAAACATATAGTGTCGTTGGTAATAGGAAAGAAAATGCGTCCGATGTCATTATGTTTCACACCATCAAACTCTCCCTTTCCTCCTCTCTCTCTTCTTCACTCTGCCCTTCCCGTCTCTCCTCTCTGTTTTCATTTCCATGACACATGAAGCGCCGTGGGGTTTCGGATCTCCTTGCCGCATTGACCTCGTGTGTCAGCATGCTTTCCATGCTTAAATCCTCATCGGGTATCTGAGGCCGTGAGGTCAAATCTCAGTGACATATCTGCCTCGTTAGGTCCTTGATGACGAGCTGTCTAACTTTGCGGTAAAACCATTTCCTCTTAGCAGGCCAGTGATGTCAATTGACTGGACTCTCCTCTGTAGGGATGCGTTCTATTTGTGTCGAAGGTGAGTACAGAAAACCAGAGCAGTATTTTTTTTTTTCTTTCCCGGGGAAGGTCAGTTTGCTTTCAGTTAACAGAGTAGTTGTCTCTTCTCACACAAAGGGAAGTAATTCACAGCGTACGATCTTATGTGAAAGTCACTCTCCAGCAGGTGTGGCTGTATTCATTTGCTGCTGTCCCGTCCGGCTGAAGGTTGCGCTGAATCCAGCTGGAAAGCGGGATTCGAACAGACAAGCTTGAGATTTCAGCCAGAGGTTTGCCTCTAACAGGCAAGATAACAAAGTTGGCTTTTCCCTTCTGCATCTTCTATCCGTCCTGCCGAAGGACCGAGGATTAAGGCTCAGCGCCTCCCGCCTTCTTCAGGCACAGTGGTTTGCTTTTTTATGGAAAGGGAGTGGCCCCCATTTATTAACTGGTCTGTCAGTCTGAGTTAGACGGTACTCTCATTCTTATTCTGTCTCGATGTTCTTTAGGAGCTTATAGACATTAACAGGGGATCCATTTGTGAGGCGCACATTAAACAGACACGCACATTTGTCCTGACTTTCACGTTTTGTCAGGGTCAGCAGTGATGTATCACTGTTGTGTCGTACCACGATTTGTTGGATTTAGTGTGCGATGTACAGTGTCTGTTGAAGGAATCAAAATGTCAAACAGAAAACACTGAGATAAGCAAAAATTGGATTTTATACTACTTGTTTGTTAGTATCTTCGCTGTTAGAACCTTTTGCAGTTGTAGCTTCACTTTACGAGCAAGTGCAATAAATGTTAAAAAGCAGGATTTGAATATGACAAATGTATCCCCTAAATCCATACAACCATATAAATATGTATTATTTCAAGAGTCCTTGACAATTCAAAAATGAGACAATATCATTTCAGTCAAGAAGTACCAATAGCCACACTACAAAGGAAGGATAAAACATTCGGACAAAAGGACCAGAACAAACACTTCACTTTATCCCGTTGCCTTTGTTGTTGTTTACTCCCGTCTTAAACCTGTATTTGTGTGGGGAAAAAAGTGAGAACTGTGTTTTTCACCTTCAACAGCAGCATCCTAGTTGTTGTAGCTCAGTCGCTCCAGTCAATGTTCAATGACTATTTTTTGTTAGTTAGCTTCTTGTCAGACATTTCTAGCTTCTCATCTTTTCCTGCTCAACCGTGGCAAAGGGATGGGCGTCATCCGTCTTTTGTGCGTAGATATAATAGGTCCTATTTGTCTGGGTCAAACTGTATGAAGAGGCATAATCTCTGAGATTAATTCCCAAAATAGGATTTACAAAACTGCTGTCAACCCTCCTATGCATGTGTCTGTAGCATTTGAAGCCACAGTTGGCTTCGATATTTTGCATACGTATCAAGAGCGAAAAATGTTTTACGGTGTTGACAATGGATTTTGACTATTCAGTACTTCTGCAAAATAATAATTATTATTTATTAGTAATGAGTAATTTGTATTTGCAAAAAATGAAAATGACAGAATGTATGGATAGATGTACAACCACGCTAGAAAGAACAGCAAGGAGGTATGGTGCCAAAGACAAAACTAAAAATACATAACGCGGCACAGGAACAAATCAAAGACGTTTAATATCTTTATAACACAATAAAGTGAATGGAGGAGTATTTATTATAATTTTATCAAATGATGCAGATTTTTGTCATTACCATCTCATATCCTGAAGGGAAAAAAAAGTTCACAATAAAAACAAAAACAAGGCAGCGCATTTTCCTAGTCTCACAGCTGTAAAGAGATTAGGGTTAGTAGTGCAATGTTGTCCGACGAATGTCAAACACCTTTGACTGAGGCAAACGGTTCGACTAAACGTCTTTCCTCTTGCTTCCTCCGCAGATCATTGCATATCAGCCGTACGGACTCTCTGTAGACTGGTGGGCATACGGAGTTCTGCTCTACGAAATGCTGGCCGGACAGGTGAGTGGTGCACACACACATAGTACCGCTCATGCAAATGCCTGCTTCATATTACGCTATGGCAGCTTTACACGGACACAACTTTGCTTACAGACATGTGCTCAGCCACATTATCCCACCTTCCCTCGCAGTCGGGCTCTGCACGGCCTTACATTCAGAGGTTCCCTTCCTGCCTTGTGTAAAAGCAGCCAAAGACAGGCTTTCCCTACGCGGAGAGGCCAGTGGAGTGGAAATGAGGGATAATTCACTTTATGGAACGTCAAAACACACATTATGGTTACTGATGATAACCGCCCACTGAGCAGGGGAAAAGCTGGGTCATCCACTTCACGTTCTGCTGCGAGCTCTTCCTGTGAAACATATCCTTAAAGAGCTCTAGCCTCTTTCTTCCCTTCTTTTCTCTCTCGGACTCACTGGGTTTAGTCTTCTCTCCTCTTTAGCTTTTTTTCCCTCCTGTATTTTTCATCTCTGGCACCCTATTTAGTCAAACCTGTGTCCCGTTTCTCTGCCCTCCCCATCGCCATTCATTATAGAAAACCATTTTTCACTTTGTTTGGTCAATTTGCCTGTCAAGTAAACAGAAAAGGAATGCACCCGTGCTGCATCCCTGCAGTGATGCCCATTACTCTAAGCTGAAAACGAGTTGCAGAGAGAACAGCGAGTGCGTGATGATGGATGCAAACCTCAGCCACTCTCAGTGTTCTCTCCGTCCTCCCCCAGCCTCCATTTGATGGCGAGGATGAAGACGAGCTGTTCCAGTCCATTATGGAGCACAACGTGTCCTACCCAAAGTCCATGTCCAAAGAAGCTGTCTCCATCTGCAAAGGGGTAGGTGGATGTTCTTTGCCATCAGTGAATAAATGTCTAACCTTTGTGAACCTGTTTTTGTCTTCAAGCAAAATCCCAAAACAAGAAAATTCATGCACTTCGTGAACTGTTGACATTGTACCTGCTGTCATTAACACAAAGCACAAAATGCCTTTAAACTGATATCCAAACCGCTTGTTCACTCTTTTGTCCGTTCAACTGTTACTCTTTCCACCTGAAACTTTTCCCAATTGTACAAGAATGTTTTAAATCAGCATTTTAGGATCTTTGTCTTTCGCGCTTTGCTGAAGCCAAATATAATTATTCTTGTTCTTGCTTAGTTCAAAACTGACAGACTGCATGACACATTGCTTGTAGGGTTCTACCAGAATTTAATTGCTAAGAGACACACTTTTGGATAGAGACCATTTTCCACTAACAACTCGTTTCTCCATATCAACTAAGTTTTCTGCACAGTTGGTGGACCAAGTCCGACAGTCGACTAAAGCTCTCGTGTAATTAACACATTTACTACATTAATACTACTCAGACCAAACAGAAACCAGAACCCTTCTGGTAGTCTTGGCCGAATGCTTATCAGACTGTTTATAGACATTAAACGCAGATCTTTGGCTGGTAAATATACAAAATAGAGAGGAATTTTGGCACTTTTACAGCACTTTTGCCTGAGGACTATTTCATCAATAAACCAATGAGAATTACTTTAAACACTTTCTTCATGTGGTTCATGTTAGTAGGAGCAGAGACTGTTGTTTCCTTTATATGTGCCTTATTTTCAGGCATTTTAAGTTTTCAAAACAAGCGTTTAATTGGGAGGGTAAGGGCGTTTCACTTTGTGTCTTTTTAATGGCTAGACCTCGTGTTCGCAGCAGGATGCTTCCTCGCAGCCGCTGACAGTCGTGCGAACGGACTGAAATCTGCAAATGACTCTTCTCTTCCTCGGCAACAGCTGTCTGATGTACTCTGCCAGTTGGATGCACTCTGCTAGTTCAGCTGTAGCCCAGTCTGCAGCCTGTATGTCCAAGGGGTTTGCCCCAGGAAAGCTGGCCTGCAAAAATCCTGCATGGAGATATTCAACACTGAAACAATAAAAACATGTTTAAGCCTTTTTAGCATCATGACAAATGAGTGATTTCATATTGTTGTATCTTTTATATTTTATTTCCTTCAAAATGTTATTCAATATAAAACCAATAGTGCTTAATTAGTCTGTAACTGCACACTTTTCTGCCGTTATGCAAATACTAATACTAAATAATACCTAAACCTGAATTCAAAAGTAATGCTGGGCTTTGTACCCCAAAATTAAGTTTGGTTAGGGTAGAATCTATTTAGATGTATGTTTTGGAATAGTTGGGATGGATTCAACAAAAGAAACAGTATATTGTATAATCAGATGTAGTACAAACATAGATGTGCCTTCTGTTGTGCTGTCAAACTACATTTTAGAGAGTGAGCATGATGGCAGACAGGTGTCACGAATGATTGACAGCATGACGTTTCTCATATGTGCGTTTGATAAGTTACTAAAGAGGAAGGAGCTTTTAATCTCCTTGTCAACTCTTGCAAGTTGGCTTCCACATAATTGAGTAAGGACACATGTCATTGTCTGTAAGGTTTCCTTTTTTATTATCTTGTTTTGCTTTTAACAGGGTTCAAACTGTGTTCTTGTGCAGTCTGAGGTGCATTTGGAAGTGGAGGCCGTTCTTTAGGGACAGAAAAAGCAGCGGGAACAAGCAACAAAATACGATTTTATCGCTTTTTGGACTTTTTTTGATGTTTTGGAAACCAATGAAATGTGAAACCTGGCATTTACCCTTCGCCCTCTCCTCACGGCCTTACTAAGGAATCCCACTGATGTTCAAATCATGTCCTCATTTTCTTCTACTGGAGCAGCTGATGACCAACACCATCCAAGCGTCTGGCTGCGGCCTGAGGCGAGCGGACATCAGAGACACGCCTCTCAGACGCATCGACTGGGAGCGCTCAGAACAGGGAGATCCAGCCGCCCTTCAAGCCCAAAGTGGTAAGTGCTATGCAGGAACACTTGCACAGCAGGCAACCAACTTGCTTCGGGTTTCATTTACACCTCATAGTCTAAACGAAGTGTGATACAGCGTGGCGTTTGTAATCACGATGAGCACTCTCTCTCGATCGAGTTAAACCTTCATTGAAATGAACCCTTTATACTTGTCTGTTCCCGTCGCTAAGGGAATGTTGATATTTTGAGCTATATTTTTATATAAATGCATGGCAGAAAGTGCAACAAAATTCCAGTTTAAAAATATATATTGATGAGGAACTAACAGGATAAAGAAATGATTATGTGTAAAGTACATTAGCAAATACATCATGATGTACATATAAAGACCTTCTCTAGAGAGATGAAAATAGACTGCGTGGGCCAAAGAACAGACTGGAAAGTTAATACACAAAACTAACAGAAAAAACATCCTACCACATTTATGCTGTAGGCGCCACTTTGCCTCATTACCATCAGTATTGCATTTGTTCTCGCTTTGGCTTTACTGTAGATGTGTTTTTTAATTGGGCTAGAAGGAACGGAACAATCTTCTCGTCTTAGGCAATTAATCATCATCACTTTGTGATATAAAATAATTTATACTTGAATTCAACGCAAGCTTAAATGCTTTTCTTGAAAAATAATATCGGATGTCTACAGAAACACATTTCCATTTCATACTGATGAAGGCATGACAAATACAATTTTTGTGAACCGCCTGCTTCTAAACAAACAAGCACTGATGTGCTTATCACAACAAGACAAATCTGCTATGGCGAGACATCGTATGCCCCTCTTGAGTCCCTTGGGTAGAATTTGTTCTTGACTGTTTGTTTACGAATTGCAGCAGTACATTTGCCTTCAGTCTTATTTGTCATTTAAGGTTATCAGTCAAAACGTCTTGAGTGAATGTCCTTAAGTACAGTTAGTGTTTTTACCTTTTAGTGTTGGATTTAATTACCTTTAAATTTAGAAGACGCCAAAGCTCAACTACAGTATTAAAGTGTACTCATACGTGATAAAGTTTAAGGATCTGTGACTAAACAGTGCCTAAATATATTTACAGAGCAGTAACAGATGAATCAGTAAATCAGACAAAAATCCATAATGTCTTAAACACAAACTTTTTGGAATATAAATTATTTGGTTAAAATTACATTTGCACCAAAATATATCCTGTCTTTGTTTGTAATCAATGGACTTGGTTGGAATTTAATGGCTTGAAAAGCGTGTGCCTGAATCTGAACTAAACACACACACACACACGCGCGATTATCTACATATGGCACATTTTATGGTGTCTGATCACTTTTCTCAAGGTTATCATCAACCTTTCCTCCAATCTCCTTTAGTGTATTTCACTTAATTACTCTAGTACTTCAAAATCCTTCATCTTAATATTCTCAAACTAGCCATGAAATGATCATCTGTCCCGAATATTTAAGTATAACATGGAACACTTAGAAGTTTTAACCTGCACAATTTATTACAGTGAAACCAAATTAACAGAAAAGTGAGGGCCGTCTACTTCCTCTCTTCCTCTTCTCTCTGTCAGACACAAACCTGTAGTATCCTCCCACACACACCCACAATCACACACACACTAACGCACTATTTTCATACTTAATGGTTTTGTTTTGTTGGTAAAGCTCAATGTAGTGCAAAGTGTATCTGCATTAACAATTACATGTAATAACGTCTGAAGCTTCTCATGAAAATGTAATCTAGTTGTGAAAGTTTGCATCAGTCATCATGCCTAGTTTCCTGCATGCAGGTACGTGAGGAGACCTCTCTTTTGTAATTTAGGGGATTTCTTCAGCAAATTATTCACTTACTTACTCACTACTTATTTCATTGTGGACAATGGTGGCTTTTTTGGAAGTGTTTCATGGAATCGTATCGTTGCTTTTGATTTTGATTGTTTATCAATCTTGGATTTACTATAATTATATACAGAAACATTTAGCTAGAGGCAGTACACATCAAGAACGCTTTGCTGTCCAGTGGCTTATCTGGGACTTGTGTGAGGCTACAATATCATTTTATTCCACCACTATTGCAAAGGTATCACACAATCACCACACATCTCATAGCACGTATGTGCTAAACAAGCACTTACATATTTACCAGACCTACAATATTTGATCACAGTAGGTCTCATAGAATAAAGGCGACTGTATTACACAGGATACCATTAATATTGTGTAGAAATAGCTGATGTAATCTGACCACAGTCCTTTACAACATTCCCATTAAAATCTGCTGACAGTGTTTACAATGTCTCTAAAGAATGTGAGACACAAGAAGCAAGTAATACCTTTAGTGTACTGAGTCAGAGTCTGAAGTGATTCCACACTGACATCACGACCCTGCACAATCTTTGTTAAATAATTTAATAAATTGGGGGCTTTACTCAATAAAAAGAAACATTACATTAAAAATAGCCTCATGTCACACTGATGTGCAGTGTAATACTGCCTTGACAGGACCGTCTTCTGTAGAGTCAAAACACAGCTGCAGGTGCAGGCTCCTGATGGCATTTGTTTTGGAGGCCATTAATGTAACACACATGTATTATGAAAGCTTATGTGTGTGTGTGTGTGTGTGTGTGTGTGTGTGTGTGTGTGTTTGGATGGGAGGGGGGGGGGGGGGTATCCTTTACACATTCCGTTTAAATATTGTAGTTCCTTTCTGTTTCACCCTCAAGGGCTCCAGTTCCTTTAATAAGGGGAATCTTGTGAGTCTTTGTCCCGCTCTGCGCTTTGTGTAAGTGTGTGAGCAAAAGTATGTGTGTGAGAAGGTTCAAGAAGGTGAGGGATCACAGAGATTGAAAAAAGCAAAGGAGGAATATTTCCTTGCATGTATACCTCGTTACTGTGTCTATTTTCCACAAATGTGTGTGTTTGGGGGGAGGGGGGTTATCAAGGAAAGCTTCTGTGCTCGTCTATGTCCATGCTTAAGTTCAAGGGAGGTGGATGGATGAAAATGTGCACGTGCTTTTGCAAAGCGCATGCCTGCATCGGTCTGGTTGTCAGTGAAAGACGAGGGTCTCTTTTACCATAATGTCTACATAGCGAGCCATCATGTCCATCTGTTTCTGAGCCCATTACCATCCAATGGCTGTCTCTCTGTACCTCCTCCCACCCATCACTACGTCTAAGCCAGCTACTCAAATCCACTGTTCCTTTCTCCCATCCCCGCTCAATCTCCCTTCATCCGCCTGTGACAGCTGTGGAATTGGAATCAATGAGCTGACTGCACCCAGCTGAGACATTGAAAGCAGTATCTAAAGGACCAGGGCTCCAGGAGGACGATGCAGTGTGTATGTGTTAGAACGAGTGTCAGTGCAGGCCGACTTACTGTTGATCTATTAGGAGATTTTTAATCTATTTCTTTTCTTTTCTATTTATTTCCAAAGTGTGAGTCATGACCGCCATTTTCCTAGAATCTGTGGTTCATTTCTCAACACAGGCAGAGTTTATGTGTGAAAGACCCAATTTCCATTTGCTTTGCGGTTTGTGTACATCTCGTCTCATTACAAATGAATCAATCATCTTTTTCATCTGTGTGGATGCCAAAGAAGTGGTCAGGCAAGGTTCCATTCTATAGCTTTCTGCAGTAAACAATCCCCAGATGTAACATTTGTACTGTTACTGCATGTGTTACCTGTATTTAGAATATATTTGTTTCTGTTAAATAATCAAAAACTATATATTCAGTTAAATAACTGATGCACATCGATAATTCGTTCACCTCTAACAACAATGGAAAAATGAGTTAAATCTAAGCAAGGTATCGATGAGATTATGAGGAGCACATATTCTGATGCCAGAGACTTTCAGCATAGAGAGAGGAAGAGACGGGGGGGACAGAGAGTCATGGCACTACTCTAATCACAGGCAGCCACTCAATTAGCATCCTCAGCAGCTGAGCGTACTTTTCATATGCTCGAGTGCAGAGCCGTGCGCGTCTACATGGGCACAGAAAGAGACAGAGAGAGAAAGGTTAAAGATGAGGGGAAGTAGGTCAGAAACCCATGTAGAGACTCAGTCTCCAGGAATGGGAGGATGTATCATAATGGCATAATAGCGTTTGCTCTTTGAAACTTCGAGTAAGGAATCAGAGATGTGAGACCAGTTCTGCACTTGTGAAAAGGCCACGCTTCTAGAAATGACAGAGGCGGTGCAGATTTCATGTTCATGGTTTTCTTCTTGTTGAACTGGTCTTTTTTGAGCTTCATTTTTCTTTATCATGTGGGAGCAGCTCGGAAATAGTCTCACGGTCCTGTATTTGGGATCTAAAGCTCTTTCGTAACATTCAGCCACGTGAGAAGTGAACGCAACACTCTAACTTCACTTCCTTACTTTTAAAAGAAAATATGAATCAAATAAAGATAAATTAAGCTTGGCGTCAAATATTATGAAAAACTGCTTTTAACACTGTTGGGAGTGTTGCTTGAGATCAGAGGCAATGGTGTCAGGAGGAGTAACTGTTGTGTGATGCATAAAGGCACATCCTGGGTCCGGCAATCATGGAGGTGGAGGACTGAGTGAAAAATGGGCGATGGATGGTCACTGATGGATAGAGGAAGACGAGGATACGGAAGGATGCCGCAGTTGAAGGATGCTGGCGATTAGCCGTCAGCTATCAGCTGTGTGGGTCCTGTCTTCTATCCACTCAGACAGGGTGGCAGTGGTTTGGAGTGTCAGGGACAATAGGGAGAACATTTTATTCTGGGAAAAAAAACTCCCCCACAGACTCTAGAATGTCAGTGTCTCCATGTTTTTTTGGTCTGCTGCGTCCACTTCCACTGGATCACCTGACAAGTGTTGTCTGGCATCACCAATGCAAAATAGTAGAAGAAGAAATATAGCAGCAGAAGAAGTTAGTCCGTAGATGTCAAGAGGGTTTCACACAAAGCAGTGAAAAGTAAAACGTCTTCTACTTGGCTAAATTGATAAAATCATATAATTTTTGAAAATCATTTTTTTGCAAAAAACAGATATCCAGATTCAACAATCTGTCATGGTTGAAACAGGAAATTAATTTACCTTCAAGTCCTATATAAGATTTCTCAAGTGGCCGTTACGCAAACTAAATAAAAAGCTGATTTTTCAGTATGTTAATATTCAAACCTTCATGCTGTATATTTATAGTACCTGCAACTGTGATGTTATGTTTGGTGTAATAAGGCCTTTGCAGTCACAACCGCTCTGAGTTAAATGCATCAGTGTTTATTTCTGTCTCAACAGTGCCAAAGGTGCCACAGTCTCCATCTTGATTTCTTTCTTTTAAAGCCCAGTTGCATTTGGCTTCAGAGAGTCGTTTTTTGTTAGATCCAGCTGCAGAGCAGCTCCCAAGGAATGTGGAAGCTCATTATATTGTGCACTGGGTCTCAGCCTTTAGTATTTGGTTAGGTGTATGTCTGCATGTGTGGGTGAATGCATGCTTCCATCTAGTTAAGCCCGGTGTGTAGGAGGACTAACTGATGAGGATGGATTAGCATGTCATGTACAGCCTTTCTATTTTTTGCTCGCTCCCTCTTTCTCTTGTACGCCGTCTCATTTATTCTCCAGTAACGACAGGAGAATTTGTTAGAAGGGACCAAGTATTTTCTCCAACGGTAACAACGGAGCATTACTCGCCTCACTAATCCTCTTGGTAGGTCAGCCAGCCGGCTGTAGCCCTTCGGTCGGAGAGCCTGGAGTTAACACACCACGTGGAGATGACATGGAAAGAGGCATCTTTATGTCCAAAGCTTGACGGACTGGTGACTGGTGACAGCTGCGTGTGTTCGGGGAGAGGAGCGGAGGGGAAGGAACGCAGCTCCGTGGGGGGGGATGATGGTCCGGGGGGGCTGAGACAGGCTTTTCCCAGCATCACGTGCTGTTTCATGTCAGACAGGAAGTCTGTCATCCACTTGCAGGTGGAGTCGGGCACGTGCAGCTGAGAGAGCTGTAACGTCCTTCTCTCCTCAGGTGGACATTATTCATCATTCCACCAGGACGATATATGTTGCTGCTGTGTCAACGCTCTGCAACTGCTATAATGCACCTTTAAAGCGCACATTTAGTAATTTATGTTAGTGGCAAAATGTGATGCACACCATCTCCGAGCAAATGATGACCTCCCTTTGCTGAGAAATTAACATAATTGTAATAACATACTGATCAACTTTTTTATCATCTTGTTGCAGCTTGATGCTCCAGTGTTTTTAGTTCAAAGAATCATTCGAAGACGATTTGTTTTGAGGGCCAAAGGCACAAAAGTATGTATGTGTAACGCGTGGGCCGAGATAAAGGGACATCACAACACATGTTTGGAGATCCTGAGCAAATAGCTTACCTTGTTGCAGAGGGCCCTGATTTATTGAAGCGTAATGTAGTGCATGTGGTGCGTAGCATGTAATCAGATGTAGTTAGTCTTCTACTGCATATAGCAGTGGGAAAGGTGAGGGATGAGGTATGAAATATTCTTACATTTTTAGGAAGGTGTAATTTAATTAGTTGACTTGATGTGGGAGAGACACAGAGAGGTCTTGCAGCTTGTAGCTGCCCGACGTAATTTTATTTATAAAAAACAAAGTGAGCTGGATGTCTTTTGGGTGCCCTCACCCCGTTCCGTCTCGCATTCTTCACATTGTGTTACTCACCTTTCATCTGAACGTCTCCTCCATCTGTGTCTCTTTTCTACAGTGCGGCAAAGGAGCAGAGAACTTCGACAAGTTCTTCACGCGCACTCAGCCGCAGCTCACACCGCCAGATGAGCTGGTCATCGCCAACATCGACCAGGCCGAGTTTGCAGGGTTCTCTTTCATCAACCCACAGTTTGTGAACCCGGTGCTCGTTAACAGCCTATGAGAGGGATGAGGAAACCTCCCCGAAGAGCCTCTCTGCCGCCCACTTAAAGCATCTGCCAACCTGACATCCGACCACAACTTGATCTAGGACCCGCTAGGAGTCTTTATGTATTGGTTTTATTTTAAGCAGCGTTCTAGGGCATGCATATTATAGAGTATTTTCATTATAATAGGTTTCTTTTGTGTAACAATGAGCAGGATGTCTTCCTTTACTCTTTTCCAGTTGTATCGAAGGTTTGCCACGACGGATGGGAAGCTTTATTTACCCATTAATCCATGCCTATATGTGGTGTGAAAAAGGTACTATTAAAGGGGCATTCAGCAACGATACCATTTAAGGCATGGATTAAGTGATTCTGGAAAAGAGATTCATACCTACAAATCTCAACGGATAAACATTATGTTCAACAGATCCAGCTTGTGGGTCACAGTTTGTTTCCATAATCATACCAATGCATATGTTGTGTGGTGACCTGAAACACACTGGCCAAATATGAAGGAGAGGTGGTGCAGGCGTTGAAACAGCACCTCGTGAGTCAATGTTCCCTGCATCATGTTTACAGTTTTCTTCCCCTTGGATCTTATGGTGACGCTATAAAATTAGTACAATTTGATCTCCGCCAGTATGAAATCAACTAAAACAACAGACAGGTAATTGGATGACGGGCTGCTTGTCACAATAACAATGTGTGAGACACTTTGGTATGAAAGTGTATCAGCGTGGCTTCCAAGTCCCAGTTTGTTGGGCAGTGTGACCTGCTTTTAGTAACAATTCACATCTATTTTCTAGCCCTTAATTAAGCTGCAGATTGTATACTTACTTCCCTTGTCAATAATTTAGTGGGCACTATGTGAACACACAGTAATCATTTTAGTATGTGGGCAGTGGCAGAACATTATTATATCTTGACTTTAGGAAAAATATCAAAGCTAAAACGTTTACAGTTTGTAATGTTTTAACCAATGTCTGTTTACTTTGCTATGCCTGTGATTTCAATTGGTCATATACGTCCCAACAGAAGCAGTAAATTTGATTTTTTTAAATATTATATGATATAATTGTGTATTAACCGTCCAATGTTATCTTTCATACAGTATCATGTGAAGATGAAACACATTTCCTAGGTTTCTTAGTAACTTAAACTGCAAATCAAAAGGAGCATTTCTTCTAAAAAAAAAACGCTTTGTTGTCCTGGAAACAAACTCATCCTTCATTACGAGTGTGTCAGCACAATCCTCATTAGTGAAATCATCGGTTTGCATTTGTGTTCATTTCTTTCAATGTCTTTGGAAGAAGATTTGTTCTAACTCCCCTCCTTTTTGGTGAACTCATACTTATTTTTTCCATTAGATCAGATAGTCATTGTGTCAGAACTCAACCACTAAAATAACCATGAATTATTTTAAGAGTACAGGAAGTTTTTAGTTTTTATACACCTGAATGTGTTTTAAATTCAATATTTGTATGTGGAGACAAATGAAACAACTAAGAAATTAACCCAGTACTGATCAACCTGATGTCTTTAACAGACATTTCTATGTTCTTTATTCACATTCAATGATTTTGACTGCAAATTGTGTGTTAATTGGATGCGTGTCTGGCTGTTGACCGTCCCTCTGTATCTGCATGGTTCATGCACGTGATTGGCTCAAGACCGCATGCTACAAAGTATAAAAGCCCAGAGAGTTATGGAAGCTTTTCAGGAAGCTATGAAGTGTCAAAGGGAAGCACAGCGTTCTATTCTCAGAAGACATATTTTTCAACACAAAGCAACTTAAGAGTGCTGATTTTAGACCAGCTAGACTCTTTAAGAGACGATTGCCGGATGTGGTAACCACAAATCAAAAATCGAGTGTCGATCACACGCACTTGCAACAGTATTGAAACACAAAAATCCCACCAGAAATGTGTGAAAAACAACAGCCAATTTTTACAAAATAATACAGATTGCTTACGAACATGAGAGTTTATTAATCTCAAGAGAAACTAATATCAAAGCTACTTTTTAAAACACGTTCCTGAGACGAGGTCCATGGTTCCAGTAGTCTGTTCTGTGGAACCTTACGGCCTTGGTCCCTGCTTCCTCTTTAGGGCGATACGGAACATTGAATCCAGATCAGTGGAGAGTTGTGACAGCTCGTCGATAGACCAGCGGGACCACGCACTCTTTTGTGTCTCATGAATGGATTTTTCTTGTAATAATCACGTTGTGTTGTAAAATGTTATGTTCGTTTGTATGTTTCCTTTTGCTGTTTGTTGTCGCAGTCGGTGTTGTTGGTTTTATTTCTCCGGCTTCAGCTTAGAAATTCTGGGATGTTTCAAATCACATTATAAAACCCACATCTAACTTAAACAGATAGGCATAAGACTTTTGAAATGTTTGTACATTTTTTCTTTCGATGTGTTTCTAAGAGTCGATCTCTCCTACCGTGTTTCCTATGGTATATATTTAACCCCTTGCATGTGCCAAACCTGGAGATTGCCAGAACCTGTCAGTAGCAGCGTTGCACTAGCTGTAGTCATTTGGATGACTTCTTCTCCGACGCACGTCCTTGTGCAGGCTGAGACCTGCTTGAAGCTACACCTGCTGTACACTCTGTTGGCCACATAACATATAGCATGCTGCCATGAGTATACCAGTGCACATTGTGTCAGTACGCTTTACAATTCCAGTCAGTTTAATAAACGACATCATGCACGGTACTAGATTTTCCTGCCTCTCTAGCCTCGGGCAGAATTGTGTCTGAAAAACACATTGCAACTAGTGGAATATTGGATTTAACACCGAAGTGAGAGAGAAATATTCCATGTAGATCCTCAACAGTCTTGCCTGAGCCTATCTTGCACCTCTGAATGGGCCGAATGAATAGAGCCATCCCTTCAATAGAATGTCTGAGTACTTACTTTCCAAACTTAATGTTTTCAAAAAAGCTACAGTCAATGTGAGCATTAAAAAAACAATGACTTGCTCTTCCCTTGTGTGCCTTTCCCAACTTGAACAGATAAACCTTTCATTCTTCTTAATCGTCATTGTCCTTGCTCTGATCTAAACTCTCAACTTAATATTTACGCAATACCTCTACCCTACTTACTATATGGCCTAAAAACAGGCCGCGTTCAGTTTTTACGTCAGCCATATCTCTCACATGAATGAGTGTGAATAAAAGCGAGTGAGGAAAAACTATGTACGCTCGGTTCAACCCAACGCTCCATCATCTGGTCTGTAAAACTGAATTTTAAGCCCATTTTGTTGACTGACGCAAATAACCTTTAGAGCCGTAAAACTACAGCGTGACTCATCCCCGAGTGTGCGTGCTTTACCTTTACCTCCCTGTGCCTATCAATGACCGGTTAAGTGAGCTATTGAATACATGTTGATCTCTGGGGGCTGAAGGAACAATGTACCGGTGATGGATCGGATTTAGTTGAATAAATGAGCAAAAGGATGGATGATGATGGCTTGTTTGGAGGATGACCCCTGTGCCTCGTCGCGTTGAACTGCCCCTCCTCCGTCTTCTCTTCACCTCGTGTAATCCACCTGTTCCTCTATTCCTCAGTGCCTGGTGCCCGGTCAATCCATCATTTTAGTCCACAGCGTCCTCCTCTTCTCACCCTTTAAACAACATCAGGTCGGGAAAACTATTTGAGCTATTCCATCCACGCTGTTCAGCATCAGTCCCCCGCATCCTCCTCTATGATTGTTCCCCAAATCCACCACGAGGAAGGAGTTGGCCAAATGTATTTGGGGTTTTAATTTGTTTACATTCTATTTGATGCCCTTACCTTTGTGTTATTCATTTAATCAATTAGGATGGCCAGAGGATAATGAATTCACTTGTTAAATGTAAAGATTTGATCTTTAATTGGAGGTCTGGTATGATTTGTTGTTTTTTTCCTTTTAGGATCCCAAATGCTTTTGATGAGGCATGTATAATGTTTTTCTCCTTTTTGTTATTCGCCATTGCTCTCCGCTGTGTTCTGTTTGCTGTGAAATGAACGAGTTGAGGTGAGCTGCCATCTTTTGGGCCGAACAGAGCACAGGATCAACGATGTGCTGCCTTATCCCTCAACGCATACAGCAACATGGTCTCCAACTCTCCCGTCTAGCTCATTTATTATCTCAGCATCCCTGTCCATGTACATAAATGACTTACAATAGATACCTTCCTAGACTGTAAAACAAAGAATATATTGTATTTTGCAAATGGTGTATGTTTGTTTACTCCCCATGTCAGCCTAAAACCTTTAAAACGAGTCTGAGCTAATTACCTTGTAATTGATTGTGTCATTTGTACCTAATGTATGATAATGCAAATAAAGAAAGAAAGGAACATTAGAATCATTCTTCTGAAAGTGAGATTTTTGAGTTTTTTGCTGCCACTTGTGAACTTGAAAGGAATCGCCCCCCCCTAATCTAATAAGAAAACAGACTGTATGTGGCTTCCCTACTCCACATGTTGGTGCAGAGGAGAGCTGATCCATTTTCAGAGATTACACCTTACGCGTTACAGTGACATCTGAATTCAAACGTTGCTACAAAAAACATAACTGAATAAAGGAAAATAATACACTCTTCCTTGATTTTATTGTAAAATACACTGAATTCTTTCGATTAGATGGATGGATATTTTTGTCAAACACAAAACTTTTATGTGGGTGTTTCTCTGCATTGTAACGATCACGCAGCGCATGGAGGCATGTGCGAGTGCTCTTCTAGACGTTTGCAGAGGTGTCAGTGTTTGTGTGGGGGCGGGCGATCGATCACGCGTTTGTTCCAGGCTTCTTCATTAGTTGGCTGTTAGTTAGCTAGAGCGGAGTTAGAAATGAAATACAATAGTGTACCACTCACCGCACGACAAGAAGGAGCACGACAGCCCGTTTGCCTGACTAATGGGGCCTGGTTGCTTCCAGATTTCACCTAAGTTACGCTTTGAGCGCACCAGCGCCTTTCCTTTTTCAGCCTATTCAGTGTCCATGCTGAACTTTGCCGGTATTAGACCCATCATCACCTAGTTATGTGTCACAACGCACAGGCGATGGATGAAGTGTTTCTTAACAAGCGAACAGATCAGTATTTTCACGAAGCACAATCGGCAGCTGTGAGAAATAGATTTAAAGTAAACATTGTTTTTGTTTTTTTTCTCATAATCAGCATGATACTTTCCAAGTAGCTTCACAGAATAGGTCAAGAAAAGATAAACAATGATGCTGAAAGAAAACAAGAAACCAGTTGTTCCCCGTTATTGTATTGATTGGAAAAAAGGTTTTAGTGCTCCCTGCTGGCACGCAGCCGATGTCCTAAACGGTGGCAGCCACAAAAAAACAAACGAGGCGAAAAAGGGAAACAGAAAACGCTCCTCTGGCTCAACTGGAGTCTGGAGGGAAACTCCACCGACGTCTTGCGGTCTGGGCCAGATCTAGCAGGGTCTGGCGTGGAAACCCGGAGGCCCGACACCATACTCAAGAGTCCAACTCAAAAACAGGTCACGTGTACTCCGTGGTTTTCCGTCGGTCTGATACTACTGGGGGAAACAAAAAAACAAACGTGGGTCTGATACTACGGGGGGAAACAAAAACACAAAGCGTCGCGACTCTGTAAGGCTGTCCTGGCTATATTGCATTATGTTATCAGTAAAAGTCATATACAATCAATGA